CGGATGATCTTTAAGATCCCTTCCAACCTGAACTTCTTTGATGAGTAGCACCAGTACATGGTCCACCGGGTGAGGAGCACCCAGTGAAGGCACGGCTGCTTCCCTGGAGGGGTGCTAGAGCCACCAGGAGCTTGGTTGTTTGATGATGGGGGTTGCCTGCTTCTCCCTACTGCTGAAGTTCGTGTCTTGGCACCTCCTGGATCCCTCCTGGCTTGAGCAAACAGAGCTGTGCAGGGCTGGGAGCGGCGCCGGGAGCCGCTCTGCCCTCGGTGTGTGCTGGGCTCCAGCAGCTCCCAGCCTGCAGCAGCCGCAGACCTCAGCGGGGTCACGCCGACTCAGGTCCTCCCGACACCAGGAATGTCAGCCAGCTCTGGGGTTTTTTGCTCCTTACCCAAAATTGCTGCCGCCTCCCACCCGCCGCCGGTGGGTAGATGCCAAGAAGAGGGTGAGCAGGGCCCTGGGTGACACGTGTCCTGTCCCCGGTGGAGCAGAGCGACCACAGGGACATGGTGCTGGGATGAGCCCGTGGGGCCGAGGCGCCAGGGAGGGACCAGGGTGTGCAGGATGCAGAGCAGAGGATGCCAGACCTGTGAGAGGACAGAGGTCCTGGGGGGGCAATGTGCTTTGAGGGGGGAAAGCGGTGTATTTCTCTAAGCTTCCATGGGAATGGCAACATTTTCTATATGATTTCGAGAATCTTCACGACTTTTGCCTTTTAGGAGCTCTCTCACAGGCTCTGATAGAGGCTGTGAAAGCACTTCTTCCATAAACTTCTCAAAATGTAAGGAAAATAAAAAACATCACCACTTTTACTGGTTCAAAGCATCTCCTGATTTTTTTAAGCCAATCGCAGGATTTTTTTTTTTTTTTTTGTGGCCCGACTCTTGATTTATGGATATATAGGCCAAGTAATGCTCCCGACGGCTGCCAAGAAAATGTCCGGTGTAGAAAGCCGGTCCTAAATCAGAGCGTTCAGCTGGTGAATTGTGCAGCGAGTTGGGCCAGGGAGAATTATGGAACTTAAAACTAAGACTCTGATCTTGCAAGAAGTCCTGCGTGGGTGGATTCCTGTGCCTTTGTGGGTCTCTGTGCAGCACATAAATTTAAGATGTCAGTGCTCCACTAAGTACATTTCAATTCTAAATTTATCATATAGATGTGTCTACTGAAATGTGCCTTTAACCTCTCCAAATTCTTCCGCTAGGAAGTCCTCACGGAGGCCTCGTCTCAAGCTCTGAAACCTTGTTTTGAGATCTTCTCTCTGCATAAAATCCTGTCAGGTTTTACTTACGCTGGAAAATATTTTTCTTGCTCAGATGAAATCAAAACGTTTTCCTTCAGAAAGCAAACCATGTACCTGTGGGTTGGGACACTGGAATTGTTGGGATAGAGCCTCGGTGCTGGTTTCAATCTGTAATCATTCACTACGCGGCCTAATAGAAAAAGAAAACAGTTTCTTTGCCCAAAACACTGCTGTTTTGAAGGCATCCATCCCTGGAAAAAATACAACCCTGCCGGAAAACTTTAGAGAAACAAGGAGCCAGGAAAAAAAAAAAAAAAAAGAAAAGAATAAGCCCTCAAGCTGCTGCTTCAGCTTGTGCTACCTGGGCTTCGAGACCCCGTGTCTGTCCCAGGCAGGGGATGCTCCCGGGCACCCGAGGGGGTGAGATGTGTCCCCAGCAGGTGCCTGGCTGGGGGTTTCTACATGTGGAGCTGTGCCCGCTGCCAGCCCCCCCCTCCCCTGCTCTGCAATGGTGCCATTTGTTTTTTCCAGCTTTAACAAGGATCTTCTGTTAGTTCTGGGTTTGAAGCATTCCCTACTCCACCAGCAAGCCCAGACCCTGAGTGGCTCAGGAGGCATCAGGCCCATGGTACCCGATGATCCTTTGGGCGCAGGTGGGTACCACAGCTGCAGCAAGACATGAATGAGCATCTCGTTTGATGATGGGGAGAGAGATGGGGGCTGCTCCCAAGCCCACCCACCCCTCCACGTGTTATCCAACCTTTCCCTGCATCCCACAGTGCTCCCAGCACACAGCCCCCCTCTTCATCTCCTGCTCCCGGCTGCAGCAGGACCCTCAACTGCAAGTCCTGGTAAGCAGTTCCTATCTCTCTATCACCGTTTCCCTCCCCAGATTATTGCTGACAAACCTGCACCCCGAAGGTAACTCAGCAATAACAGCCCCAAATACTCCCAGGATGAAAAATGGGGAGGTTACTAATTGTGAAAGGCGTGAGATTTCACAGCTTGCATCCTTGCTTGGCGGGGAGGGGGGCGTTAATCAAACCCTAGCCGGTGTTAAGATGGGATTAGGACACAGACACACACATTGGCATCTCCAGGCCATGTCCCAGCGGCTGCCTGCCCATTCCTGCCCTCCCTGGACCCTCTCCTGCCCCGTGCCAGAAGGAGCACCCCAGGGCCAAGCTGATGCCTGAGCACCTGCCTCCTGTTTACAGATTTGATCCCAGCCCTTGAGAGGGAGCGATTTCACCATCTGAGTCCTCACGAGCTCTGATTATAACGAGCTGCACATGAGGCTGGATGGGGCTAAAGAGGAGTTCTCTGCCAGGCTCTCCGGCCCATCGTGCCGCTGTAGTAATTTGATCGGGACTGCCGGGCTCCTGCCAGTTTACTTTATTAGGATTAATCTTTCCAGCTGGAGAGATGGGGGAAAACCAAACAAAAAACCACCACGAGGGAGCGAAGGAAGCCCTGCACGTTGCATGCCATGAGACTCGTGCATGGGGAGGAATAACCCCCTGCACCAGTACAGGTTGGGGCTGACCTGCTGGAGAGCAGCTCTGAGGAGAAAGACCTGGGAGTCCTGGTGGACAACAGGATGACCATGAGCCAGCAACGTGCCCTTGTGGCCAAGAAGGCCAATGGCATCCTGGGGTGCATCAGGAAGAGTGTGACCAGCAGGTCGAGGGAGGTCATCCTGCCCCTCTGCTCTGCCCTGGGGAAGCCCCAGCTGGAGCACTGGGACCAGTTCTGGGCTCCCCAGTTCAAGGACAGGGAACTGCTGGAGAGGGTACAGCAGAGGCCTATGAAGATGATGAGGGGACTAGAACATCTCTCTTACGAAGTGAGGATCTTGGTTTTGTTTTTTAGTCTGGAGAAGAGAAGGCTGAGGGGGGATCTGATCAATGCTTAGAAATACTTAAAGGGTGGGCGTCAGAAGGATGGGGCTGGTCTTTTTGCAGTGGTGCCCAGTGACGGGACAAGAGGTAACAGGCACAAACTTCAACAAAGGAAGTTCTACCTAAACATGAGGAACTTCACTTTGAGAGTGGCAGAGCCCTGGAAGAGGCTGCCCAGGGAGGTGGTGGAGTCTCCATCTCTGGAGACATTCAAAACCCACCTGGACAAGTCCCTGTGCAACCTGCTCTGGGTGGACCTGCTCTGGCAGGGGGTTGGACTGGATGATCTCCAGAGGTCCCTTCCAACCCCATGTCATTCTGTGACTCTGATTCTGTAACTATACGACTAGGCCAGCTCTTGCTCACTGCCTTCACAGTGATGAAGAAATCAGCGTTGCACTCCTGCTCCCTGCCAGGAGGGTCATTTTATTCTTCACCAAGAGATGAAAGGCCAAGACTGTCAAAACACACAGAGCAGAGTAAATCCTACCGTGGGGAAGCTGCTCTGGGGACTTCTTTTCCATTCCTGTTCCCCACAGTGGGGGTTAATGGGCACCAGGGATCTGGAAGAAAGATGCAGTGATTTGGGGGTGCTGGAGGGGCAGGTCTTGAGCCCCATGCCGTGATGCTGAATGGGGAACGGGAAGGAAGGACCTTGCTCGGTGGGGATGGTGCCCAACTGGGTGCTTGCTCAGAGGTCTGGAGCCAGGGCAAGGCACAAGACCTGCTCCGAGCCTTCAAACCTGGAGCTCAACGCTGCAAAGCTCAGCACCCGTCAATGAGGGCTGGGATGGTAAGAAATAGTTGCAGTGAGAATTCTGAGAAAAATATGGCAATTGGTGTAGGAGACACTTCCCATTGTTCAGCTGAAGACCCTCAGAGACACCAGAGCTGGATTCATTCATTTCAGACCACCCCAGTGACATATTCCATCTTCCAGCACATTGTCTCCTGCTACGAGTTCCTGTGTGGTCACCTCGGTCAGGAACTTCTCCATAAGTTTAGGGTCAAAAGCAGGTTGCAAGGCTTTATGAGGGAGTGGAGTGATAGGACAAGGGGGAACAGTTTTAAACTAAAAGAGGGGAGATTTAGATTAGATATTAGGAAGAAATTCTTTGCTGTGAGGGTGGTGAGACACTGGAACAGGTTGCCCAGAGAAGCTGTGGCTGCACCATCCCTGGAGGGGTTCAAGGCCAGGCTGGATGGGGCTTGGAGCAACCTGGTCTGGTGGGAGGTGTCCCTGCCCGGGGCAGGGGGTGGGACTGGATGCTTTTTAAGGTTCCTTCCAACTCAAACTATTCTGTGATTCTACGATTTAAGAGAGAAAGCCTTTTTTTTTTTTTTTAACTTCTGTGAGAAATCTTTTTGGCAAATAAAAGCAAGAAGCCTGAGCAGTAAATGCTGATGCCCAATGTCACAATGCACAATGCAGGGGATGGGAAAACAGATGTGAGGAGGGGAAAAAGATGCCAGATAGATGGAAAGAAGCTGGTGCTGTGTCTGCAGTAACCATAAATAAGTAGAAAGGTGTTTGTGCTGACAGAGGCAGCTGAACAAGCATCGGGCAGCTGAAGTTAGAAATGAGAAAAGATTTAAAAGCCACATACTATCAAATCCATCTCTCTGTAACAGGCAGAACAACCCACCTCTGCACAAACCCACTCCCCAGACCCAGGCTGGAGTGTCCTGGTCGGTGTCGGGAGGGTTGGCTGTGTCCCTGGGGTGCTGGGATGGGTCCTGTGCTGCCCGTGGGACCCCAGCACTGGGATCAGCAGAGCAGAGGACGGGCTACAGCACGTGCAGCCCCGGGGGCATTGCTTCCAGAGGGAAAAAAAACACCACATTCGGACTCTTTCTTTTTTTTTAACTTCATGGAAACTTTATAAACACTTGAAGGAATCTATGCTTTTAACGTGACAAAACGGCTCTGATGGCTGATGTCTGGGGGCCCCGCCGTGCCGCACGGGGAGCATCCCGTGTTCCCAGCTGTGTGGCTCCAGTGGCACTGGCAGCAGGGGCCAAACATCCCACCACCACTGTTGGTCCCCAGCGTTCGGCACGGAGGAGGGGAAAACCAGCACAGATACACATATGACAAACGACTTAAAAAAAAAAAGGACACAATGAAATACGTATCTAATAAACTGCTTCCTTCCATTGTTCACGATGTCAAACTTTAAACCAAACTCCCTCGGGTTTCTCTCTTCCCACGGACCCCAGCTCCATCCCCCAGGACCGTGAGGCTGACTGTAGAGGAGGGGTGTAGGGGGTGCAACAGCCACCCAGTCCAATGGGACGGGGACCAGGCACTGCACAGCACAAGGGGTGCCACCACCAGAGCCACCCGTGTCCGTGGAAGCTGGTTGCTTCCCAAACCAACAGCCTCGAGGGGTCTTCAACGCACAGCCCAGAGAGGGGAAGGCATTTTGGGAAACGTTGGCTTTCTGTGGAGGAAGCCCTGGTCTCACACCTCTGGGACAGCCACCCCAAGAGGTGACAAAGCCACCAAAGGACCGGCCAGTACCTGCCAGAAGGAGATCAGTGGCCTCCATTGCCTGGCTGATGGAGAGGCTTCCCCAGCAATCAATCACAGCCCTTCTGGGCTGGTCAGGGCACCTCTCTCCCTCCTTCAGACTGGCTGGCTCACAGCTTTGCTCCCCCCATGATGAGAAAAACACGATGTGCTGCTCACACCTCCCAGATGCTCACAAGAAGGTGCAGCAGAAAGGGCTCACCGTAGCTTTCCAAAGCCCTGAGATGCCAGTGTGCGTAACACAGTCTAAGCGGCAACAGCACTGCTTTGTTTGTATTTTTTTTTGTTTTTAAAGCCACTTTTACCTGCCACTGTGGGGGAGGGGGGGCAGCAGCTGGGGCACCGCCAAAGCCCGAGGGAGCGGGAGCACCGTTGACACGACGCTGTGTGTGTAACAGCCAACGCCAGAATTACATTCAGCAATAAAGCAGAGATGCACACACGAGGCAAGTGTCTGGAGACAGCCTGGGGAAGATGGGTGACAGCATCCCACCAGCAAACCTGCGCCGGGCAGGACACGAAGCACGCTGGAAAGAGGGGAGCTCCCAGGAAGCAGCTATTGGGGATGGTCGAGCCACTGGTTTGGGAAAATGCTCCCAGCACCCGAGGAAAATCATTCAAAATGTGGGAAGCTGCCTTTGGGCTGGGGAGAGGAAGAAGGAAAGCTGCACGTTGCCTATTTACAGGTAAATGCTCCAGCCCTGGTGTCAGCTGGTCCCACAAATAAGCCTCTACTGTTAAGAGGAGCACGAGGGGTGGTCCTGGCATGGAGAAACTGTCCAGAATAAAGGGCATCATCTAAGCGGCTGCTGCTGAGGAAAAGAGTTGGACACCTCTTGGATTGGAAATTAATGGAACAAGCAAACGAGAAATGGGGCGCCTCTTAGAAAAATAGTGGGATTTGGCCCATATTCAGCGAGTTTCAGTTCCTCACCACTTCTGTGCTGCTCCACCAGAATAACCCCAGGACAAAGACTTCTTGGTGGGCCTGTGGGAAGAGTGGTGGGAGAGTGGCTCATGTGGGAGGAGGAGGAGGCAGAGGAGGAGGAGGAGAGCCTGCCACCTCCTTCTCCAAGCTTCTTGGAGGCTGCTGACAAGACCAGGGCTGTCCAGAAAGCCGACCCACAGGCAGGGGATGTTGCCTGGCACAGCCATGTCTGCCAGCGTGGTTTCCCAGGACAGGAGAATGTTTATGCCAGGGGGAAAAGGAAGAGACAGAACTAAGTGCAATGGCCCCCCCGATTCCTGTCCCGCCTGCCTTAGCACAAGCAGTGTTTCCAGTAACACACACTGCTCTCCTACAAACTGAAAAACACACTATAGCTTAACTGAGCAAGAAAACATAACATAAAGTAAGGAGCTTCTTACGGCAAGGGGTGGGCCAACCCAAAGTCCAGTCACTCTGCCCTTGCATCCAAGCACGGGGAGTCAGCCCCTTGCATTTTTGACTCCAATGTCTGTCCAAGCTCACCCTCATCAAGGTGCATCTCCCAAAAAGTGAGCAGGTCAATGGTGACTCCCATCCTCTGCTGTCCCTTCCACAGCCCGTCGGTGCTCACCCAGCTGGTCGCCTGCCAGGACACACAGGAGCATCCCCCACAGCCTGCGCAGAGTGGTGGAAGGACCAGGAACAGTTCAACACAAAGGTGTGGGTAGGGTCTTCTGTCCATCATCTCCCTCCCCTCTAATTTCTTGAGCCACTTGTGACAGCGTGCTCTGAAATTATCGTCCGGTAAGATAGCTGCTCTCCAGGGGCACTGGAACTGGGAAAGTCTTAGCTGTGACACGTCGTTTCACCAGCGCAGAAAATCTCCTGGGTTTAGCTGGGCTGAGGTGGTTACAAAGTCTGGAAGAAGAACACAAGCACGGTCTGTGCAGCAGCGCGAATTCATCAGCGATGGAAAAAAACCACAACCAGAGCAAGCTCAGATGTTGGCACCGCCGTTTGTGCAGCTCTCACATTTATCCTGAGCTGCAGCGAGGAGGCTCGGGAAGGGCAGAGCAGGTTAATTTCCTCCATCCTGTCATACTGCCACCCCCAACGGAGGGCACAGCCCACCTCCAGTCATTATCTTTCCTTCTGCAAGGGTCTCCTATGGGAAGGACTTTTCTCCTCATCTTTTGAGATTCCCACTGCCTGCACTGGACTCCCACCACCCCATAAGTGCTGAGTTTATGTTATATTATGTTACATGGGTGCTTTTGGTTTATTGCCATAAACACTTACCTTTAGCCTCAGCTCTCATCACCTGGGATCCTGCCTTGTGGTGATGAAGAACTGTACGTAAGGAAGAAGAATACAGAAAAAAAAAATAATTAATGCAATAAAAAGCTCAAATGCGGACCCATAAATCTAGACAGAGGGTTGAGTAACAGTCAGGTCAGGGATAGATTTTCCAATATAACAACAACACCAGCATGTATCATGTATCAGACTTACAGGCAAACCTGCTTGCACTTTTGGCAGAGGCTGTTGTTCTCGTTGAGCAGATACTATTACGAGTGAAATCCACTGCCACAAGGCACAAGGCTTGCAATTCAAAGCCCTGCCATCCCAGCCTAGCCCGAAGGCTTCAGTGCCCAGGCTGTCACCCCATCACACCGTCCCTCTCTCTGTGGGGGGGCTATATCTGCATGTACATCCTGTGTAGGACCATCCACCCTCTGGTTTCCCACCTCTGATCACCCGCTGCGGTCTAACCAGCCTTCCTTGTCCCTCCCAAGATCCTATCTCTGCTCTTTGCAGAAGCTGAGAAGAAAGTACAACATGCACTAATGCTGACTGAGATTAACACCGATGATAAAAGGAATCTGTAGGTATGTTTATTACTCAGCAGATGTACATTTAACTTATCGTCTGTATCTGGATTCACATATAACACTTTGTGCTCTTTATTTAGCTCCGGTGCTTTAGCTGAGACCCATCTTCTGCCCACAAGTGTGAGAAGCAAGAAGAGGTCAGGGCTGGGGCTTCCTGAGGTGACTCACTCTGCTTCAGAGGAAGCACCCTACACATTTAAATGCCAACTTCCCAGTGCCAGGCTTACTTGCTTGTTCTTCGGGAAGCTGTCTCAAAGAACTTTGTCCTAGAGGCCACTCTGCAAAGAGAACAAAGCGAGGTCACTCCAGTTATCCGATAAGGCAATTTGCTAATTAGATCTCAGCTGTGCTAGGGAAAAGAACAGTAGCATTAGCAGACACTGAAGATGATCACCTTCTAATGATGTCTTTTCTGCTGAGGCAGCTCCTCGTGCTGCCAGCTCCATTCCCCTCTGCCCTCACATCGCCCTGGCCTGGCAGCCCTGATCACTTTTAACTAGACTCCTTATTTCCGTGCTCTTCCTTATAATCCTACCTACTGGTTTACAAACCTCCATCCACCACTTCTTACGGCCTCTCTTCCAGCTTTTAGGCACTTCATATTTAGCTTCCAACTGTCCTTATAGAAAGAAAAGTTCGAAGAAGTGATGCAGGAGAGCAAAGGAAAGGTCTGTTCCTGTCCTGCAGGTGCAGAGCTGAACCTCAAGGCACCTTTGCTGGACTAAGGAGTGAAAATGCAGGACTTGGACCAGCTGCCCAGGGTGGATTTATTGGCGGGGGGGGGGGGGG